GGGAGGCTGGGCTAGCATGACTTTGCATACGCAGAGGCCAGGGTACAGGTTCACTCTGCAGTGCTGGCAAGCTAGGGAAGCAAATGGCCAGGGGAGAAAGGAGGGAGGGAGGTGTGAAAGGGATTAAAAAAAACTCAGCTGCGTGCATTCTGCATCTCCAGACCTCCAGGGAAAACATGTAGAAATGTGTGTGGCTGGGGGGAAAATGAGAATAAAGCTTCAAGCTGTATCAGCTTGCATCCGAGACCCAGGGAATGGCTCCCCCTGTCCCAGTGCAATTAGCAATCCTATTGCCATGTGCTGGGGAAGATGCCTTTGGCAGTATGACATTTTGGGTCCCTTGTTGGAGAGGCAAATATGAGGTCACTCAAAAGTTTCAAGAACAGGGCAGGAACACAATGTTCGATCTAGCAACTGCAGGCAACAGAGGGAGAAACTGCAGAGCAGACTTTTTCCTGAGATGAAAGGAAAACACAAGATGCTGTGCCTTTGGTCTGCCTCGCATGTCTGAGTCTGGGACCAAAGCTGCCTTCGGTGCTAAAGAAGAGAAACGCCTCCCACCCTAAATGAGCTGAGGTACATTGCCGACTCAACACACTGAGCAGTAGCAAAACCTACAGCCCAGGAAGGAGTGACTCACAGCTGGAGGAGACAGTAACAGATGCAGGGAGTACTTCTGCCACAGGACCTACTAGTGCAGCAACCATTCAAAAGTCCCTGAAGGAGCCTGACTTGCAGTTGCAAGCACTGATAACATTTAAGTTATATTATTATTAAGCATGATATGACAGCATCCAAAAAGGCTGCTCAATAAGCTGTCTGAATACTGGTTTTGCCCATTCTCACCAGGGACTGAGTATCCTCCTGTCATTCTAGATGTGCTACACTTGCTAGTTCAGAATCTGTCTAACCAAAAGCAGTATTTGCCCAGCCTGGTGTCTGGAGGTAGCTTGCAGTAGACTCCACCCTGCTTGCGGAACCAGCATCACCAAGCACTCCAGTGGAGCACAGATCTGAGTTAATGCCCAGCTAGGCTGAATTATTTCCAGTTCACGAAGGAAATTCTACCATGGAAAAAATTCCAGCCTCCAAAGCCATTCTGCAGAGCAGGCATCTGGGACAGATGCACACTGTCATAGTAGACTGTACCCCGGGGCCAATGTGCCCTAGCACAAACTTTCCTGGGGAGGATGCTTGGTAGAGACCTCCTTGGAACAATTATACTGGGAGCTGGGAGCAATGGTGTGAGGAAGGGAGGACTCTACCACACTGTAGCCCTTCTGCCAGCTCACAGCAAGAAGGCAAACTTTGGTCCAGAGACATCCGCAGGGTGATTGCCTCCATGCCCCAGTATGTGGGCACATGTTATACAGGTGCTACAGGGAGCCTTCCCAGAGAGCCTGTGGGGCATGCTGAGGACATCCAAGAAAATATCATGCTTCTATCAGAAAAGAGGGACAGAGACTTTCTAGCATAGCTCCTCCTCAAGACACAATCAACACTGCCTAAGCCACTTCCAACGGAAGTCTGTCTAATTTAGTCTTTAAAGCCCCCCAGACAATGTCTGTACTGTACAGCACAGCTTAGCAGTCTGGTCCAGCATTCAGCAGCCCCTGCTTTCTTGTAATTCCCAGAGCTCTCATCAGTGGTGCCTCTGGGCCCCTGCCCTTCCCGCTCTGCAACCCAGCCATGCAAGTCACACTTGCCAACCTTGTCCCTTCCCCTTGCCCTGTCCAGCTCTTTCTGCACTATCCCCATCACAATGATGGGCAAGTACATAGCTCAGAGCTAAAAAGAGAAGATGCAATTGGACAGAGTTTGGCCATTTTGTTCTCTGAAACAGCTGCGTCAAACTTTGAATATCTCAGATGCTAGACTGAGAATTTATTGGGATTAAGCCTGTTCCCTGTATTTGAACAGGGACAATATCACAAAATAAGGGTCATGCTGGCTCTTTCTGGCTCACAGGTCTAGCAAGTGTATAAGGCAAAATAATTTCCAACTCTTTCCTTCCTATCTTTGCTGGCTCTGCAGGACAGACTGGAACAAACAGCAGGAAAACTATCACATCTAGCATGGTTTTAGAGCAAGATCTCTGTAACACAGGTGTTAAACTTACACTGATGCTAACTTTTCCTCTGAGCTGTGTATACAGTGCTACTCTCTCTGTTAAATGCAGGTCAAAGGCCAAGTTAACCTCTAAGCACCTTTATCCCTGCAGAAATCATCAGACACAACTAGTGGTATCTGGTCATCCCACCAGCATGGAGCCTCCCAAGTAAATAGATCCATTTTACCACCGTAAGAGCAATCTCAGGATTGCTGCCCACCTTGTAGGATATGTGGGCCAGCAGACACTAATCCAGGGAGAAAACACAATGTCAGGGTCTTGAACTCGAGCCCTGCAGTGTTTCTTGCCAAGAACTAGACCAGCTGATCTGTAACTAGACATTGGCTATCTGTAAATCTGTGCTGATCACACCGACCCTTCTCCCTTACCATTTATAACCTCAGCTGAACTAG